AAGATAAATCCACAATGTCCTCGTGGGGTGGGAATTCCAGTGTTTTGACCCAGCGACAGACAAGAAACAGCGATATATTTCCAAGTCAGGGTGGTGAGTGGCTTGGAGGGGAACTTGCAGGGGGTGTTGTTCCCATGGATCTGCTGCCCTTGTCCTTCGAGATGGAAGTGGTCGTGGATTTGGAAGGTATTGTCTGAGGAGCCTCGGTGAATTTCAGCAGTGTATATTGTAGATGGTACACACTGCTGCTACTGAGTGTCGGTGCTGAGAGAGTAACTGTTTCTGAATTAGTGCCAATCAAGTGTGCTGCTGTGTCCTGGATGGTTGTAATTGTGTTAGACCATAAGACCGTAAGATATAAGACCAGAATAAGGCCATTGGCCCGTTGAGTCTGCTCCAAAATATTTATTTTCTGATAATTTATTGAGAGGCAGCAGATTTGATCTGGTATATGAGTTAATTCAACAAAGAAAGGAAATGGATAACACCTGACAGATAAGAGCGCTTTCCTGATCCCAGACCATTCTGTCAAATGGAGAGGTCAAGGCAGCATACTCCGAGTGGGCCTGCAGTCTTTTGTAGACAAACAGGAGGCTGGAAGAACACAGCAGGCCAGGCAGCATCTGGAGGAAAGGAGTAGTCAAAGTTTCAGGTATTACCCTTCTTCAGGACTCAGTAATACCCAAAATGTTGGCCACCACATCTTTTGTGGTCTTTTGTGGTGGGCTCTGGAAGTCTTCAGTACTAACAACCTTTGTTCCTCACTGAGGCTGATATTGGGGAACTCCTGATCTTACACCAAGGAGATGGTGTAGCTCATCTCCCTGGATCTTCTTGCCCTAGCACCCCCAACCTCAACCCCCACCCCACCCTAACCCCAACGCCCCCCCAAATCATTATTGAAGTGCATGAGTTATTTTGGGAGATGACTGTCTCTGCCATAAATCAATTGGCTGAGCGCCTTTGGCCAATGGCCAATGGGATGGCCACTCATGACATCAGATGACTGTAATCCCCTTGCCCACCTCCAATGGAAGTTAGGCCGCACTTGATGCCAGATTAACTACTGACGCTAGTTCATTTAACATCATAACCTCTGTGTTTCTCGTAAATTTTCCCATTTGTTTTCCCATGCTAGAATTTCGGAAAGTTAATTACTGCTGTGATAGCTGTTTAATAAAATCTCACGCCACATAATAAATATAGGAAAATTCAGTTTTTCAGGGACCCCAATTTCCAACAGTACTATTGCCGGAATGTTTTCAGGGCCGGTAACCTTTGCAGTATCCAGTTCCTCCAATTGTTTTTTGATATCGCGTGGAGTGAATTGAGTTGGCTGAAGACTGGTAATGCTGGGGACCACTGCAGGAGGCTGAGATGAATCATCCGCTTGGCAATTCTGGCTGAAAATTGCTGCGAAAGCTTCAGCCTTATCTTTTGCACTGATGTGCTGGGTCCTTCCATCATTGAGGATGGGGATTTTTGTGGAGCTTCCTACTCCAGTGAGTTGTTTAATTGTCCATCACCATTCATAACTGGATGTGGCAGGACTGCAGAGCTTAGATCTGATCCATTGCTTGTGGGATCACTTAGCTCTATCTTTTGCCAGGGTTGGAGGGTTTGAGCTAAGGGGAGAGGCTGGGGCTGTTTTCCCTGGAGCTTCAGAGGCTGAGGGGTGATCTTAGAGAAGTTTATAAAATCATGAGAGGCGCGGATAGGGTGAATAGCCGCTGTCTTTTCCCCAGGGTTGCGGAGGGGAAACTAGAGGGGATAGGTTTAAAGTGAGAGGGGAAAGAGTTGAAAGGGATGTAAGGGGCAACTTTTCCACGCAGAAGGTGGTGCGTGTGTGGAACGAGCTGCAGAGGAAGTGGTGGAGGCTGGTACAATTCCAACATTTAAAAGGCATCTGGATGGATACATGAATAGGAAGGGTTTAGAAGAGCATGGGCCAAATGCTGGCAAATGGGACTGGATTAATTTCGGATATCCGGTTGGCAGGGACAAGTTGGACCAAATGGTCTGTTTCCATGCTGTACAGCCCCATGACTCTTTTAATAAAGTACATAGCTCCCCCTTATGGTGGTTTTGAATATATCTTCATTTTACAATTCAAGACGAGTCCTGACTAATCTGAATGGGAGGAAATAGATCACACAAAAAGTCATGGGGATAAAAGAATTAAGTCTTGCGATTATTCAATATTTTTCACATTTACTGGAAGTCTCAAAGAGTTTTACAGTGAATGAAAGATGTTTGAAGTTTCATAATAAAAACATTTGGAAAGGTACACGGTCAGGAAAGGTTTAGAGGGATATGGAAAAATTGTGGGCAAATGGGACAAGTTCAGTTTAGGAAACCTGGTCAGCATGGAGAAGTTGGGCCGAAGGGTCTGTTTCCATGCCGTATGACTCTACCACTTTATGACACTGCTGTGATATAAGAAATGTAGCAACCAAATTGTCTGCAACAAATCTGACAAACAAAGGTCTGAAGACATTTACCTTGTGAATCCACCAGGCTCTTGCTTCAAAGATGCTGTCATGTTTCCTTGAGTTTGAGAAACCAGAGAAGAGGAATTAAAGTCGAAAGGAAACAGGGAAACTCACAGCCTGAATACTATACTTGAAATTCCAATCACTTTCTTGACACATGTTAATTGCTTCCCCTCTTTCCAGTCTTAGTTCAAGATGGAAATGGATGGGATAGAGGCAGGTTTGTCTCTGGAAACAGATTTTACGAAGTTTAACTTCTACCCAAGGGTTTATGACTATCGCCCATCAAGTTCCATTCTCACTGCTGTACAGTTGGATCCTTTTTTATCAGGTAACCTCCACCCACCTTTTTTTTTTGGGTTCCCTGGGATATTTATCTCTAAGCCTTGGTCACCATGGTTACCACAGTTGGGAGCTCCCCAGGATGAAACAGCCGGTAGGAGGTTTAGCTATTATTGTGCTGACATTATTCCTGGTGTCTACCAGCCCTGAACATGCAGCCATCTTACATTAGTAAGGTGAGGAGTTATTGGACAGGCTTTGGAACAAATACTCATGTCCACTGCTAGGTTTCACCCCATTGCAGATCACCAGGTTATAGAGTGAACACTGAACTTTAGCTGTCAGGCTGATGGGATTGTATTGGAGTAAAACCATCGGAAAGGGTTATTATTGATAACTAACTTAAGCACCATCCACCATAATGATCTCAGAGATAGTAAGAGCTGCCGATGCTGGAGTCAGAGATAACACAGTGTGGAGCTGGAGGAACAAGGCAGGCCAGGCAGCATCAGAGGAGCAGGAAAGCTGACGTTTCAGGTTAAGACCTTCTTCAGAATCTAATATTCAAGTTTTTCCTCCTCATAGTCTCTGTAGCAACATCTATCACGTCAATGAATCCTGTGCCTAGTCCAATCTGGCACTATAGATTGCATGGATGGCCGAAGGATAACTCTATGTGTGTTGGGTCCCTGTCTCTATACCACTCACTCCTGCAGGCCCTGCAGCTCATACACCACAGAGCAGAGCACCCATTTTCCCTTTTCTGCTGTGTCTGGGACAAAGGTTTCCATTATAACAGTCGCTGTGTTTTCTGCTATCCCCAGGGTGGGTGGGGGGGTGAGTTTGTGCCCCTATCTCCTACAGATCACAAGGATTTGATACACACAGCTCCATACAGTTAGTGCAATCAATCCCCTTTAGAAAATATTGCCAAGCCATTCAGAAGGTTGAGGAAAGGTGGTCACAAAGGTCTGGATGTCACAGAATTTGTTTAAGTTGCTGGACATCCTGTGAAATTTAAACTTGACACAAGTACCAAAGTCAATATCTTATCAGGGTTACCATAGCTGAGAGCTCAGAGGACTCCTGCAAGGGAAATCTGGGTCATCTCATCATTTAAACCACTCTCTGTTACAATCCAGCCTTCTCCATTCGCAAACAAAAGGAACAATCCTTCAGTTTATCACCCACTACACATCCTGGAGCATGAGAACAGCAGTAGCCCACTACCCCTGTATCAGGAAGTATCATAAATTTATTAAGCTCAAGAAGAGTGTCCTGCAGTCAGCATCGCAGTGAAGCAGTTTGGGAAAATCTTATCATACAAGGGGATTTCTCATAGAAACAAAGGAGGTGTTCAGAATGTAAAGGAGTTGGCTCCATAGCAAGAATTATTTCTGTTGCAGTCAATGGAATGGACTATCAGGGGCATAATAGGTTGTCAACTTGATATTGTGTCATAGCCAGAAATTAACTTCCCTACATCCCCACAGTGTACAGTCCTCTCTGAGACATACACAGCTAAAAAGAAAACACAATAGGAGCAGCAAAGAGGTGCAGTACGTGATAGTAAGCCTCTAAAATGTGAAAATTGCTTGTGTGCTGAAGATTCTATGTTGTGAAGGCTCCAATCTGAAGCTAATAATTTGCAAAGAACATTGACTACTTTCTAAAGGTAGTTTCACATTCACTTAATATTAAAACATCTGAATGACAAGCTTAAGTATGACACAACCGACAGAGAATCAGTTAGCAAATTAAATTTCATGTCTTTTTATTTTGTTTACAACATATTAGATGAAAAATGATCAGGATGTGCTACATCTCTACACCACTTTAGTCATACATTGATTTTTTTAACCAATTTAACCCTTCACTCTTCAAACATGTACAGAATGATATCATTTAACATTTAATAAACATACTTCCATTGCATATCTTTAGATCTTCCAAATTTGCATGCACTGCAGCATAAATGTGAAAAATAAATAACATCAACTTTGGAAACAAATGTTGCTTCCAGCATTAAACAACAAATGTTGGAATAGCAAAAAATTTTAAAAATTGATTGATTTATTTCAAATAGTTTATTTGTTTACAATAATTACATTAGATTGTGATAATGTTTTAGAACAACCTAAAGAGCTCTGCTGAGAAGGTTATTGCACATAATCTATTCACAATGGCTTGGTACGGAGTGCATTACAAATTTAATAATGCATTTATCTAACAGCCCAGCCATTGATTGATTCTCTGTATTGAAACCATTTGCTGCTGTCTGATGTTGAACGGGAACTGATTTGGTCCACGGAAAAAATAAATATACCCTATAAAACAGAATGCAAAAGCGAGGCGTTACTTCAGGGTGAACATGCAGTTCAATCAATACATTGCAAAGGAAAATAAAATAAATCCAACATATTTCTCAGATACATTTATTGCTTCTACATTGTACATGGACTGTTCTATAACATTTTTTAAAAATCGCTTTTAAGCAGATGTAGTGAATTTCAAAGTCAAAGTGTTATTTTGAATTTGAGTTAAAGAAATTGGCTGAAGACATTAATTGAAGACATATATTATGGAATTGAGTTCATTCTTGGATTGCTGATGTTGCAAATTTGCAACATAATTTAGATTCAGGAAAATATTCAATTTGTAGATAATACAAAGCCAAGAAGGACAATAAAGTTAGGAGAAGGAGCTCAGGAACTTTAAAAAAAGTCTGGAAAAGTATACAATTAGACAAAACAACAAAAAAAGTTCATTGAAGATAACTGTAATGCACTGAATTAATTAAAAATATGCATACTGCATGAATATCAAAGATGCAGAAGGAATCTTAGTTGTTTCACAATCAATATATTAAATTAATGCAGACAGCAATCAAGAAAGCTAATAGAATGGTGATTATATTGTCCAAACAACAGAATACAAACTGAAAAAAGTTACAATCAAACAGCCGTCCTCTGATCAAACACATTCATTGTTGTTTCAAGTCCTGATAATAGAAACACAGAGGACTCTCTAAAGCTGTGAGTCACAAGACTGATAGAGCACCAGTGGAATGAGGAACACTTGAAAAAAATGAGACGTCAGGCTCAAAAAAGTGACGAAGAAAGTGATTGTAAAGGGATATTCAGGAGAGTAGGCAATAGATATTGAACACTACTTCAAAATAACTGATGAGGCTAGATCAAAAGGACAAAAGCTCCAACTGGCAATTGGTAAATTTAAGGCAGGTATCATGAAGCTTTTCATATAAAAAAGATTCATTTCTGTAAATTCACCAAAGGGGGAAATCAGAAGCAAAAAGCCTGAAATTGTTTAAGAAACACGTTATGTTCCAGACCAGACCCCCTCAATATATTTTAAGAAGGTAGCCTAGACCCTAAAATTTTCTGATTTTAGAGGTAGATGTGAAGTGCCGGGTTCCAGATGCAAATTGATTGGTCAAACTTCTCGATGTTAAGCAAACCACAATTTATTTAAACACTATAGTTCAAATATAAACAAAAGAAAGAGGAATTTAGAATAACTTAAGTACTGGGAAACTTAACCGAATAATAGATACAGTAACTATTACTAATTAACTATTCCAACATAGTAACATCCCATAACCACAGCCCTTGGCAAAAAGGTAAATTCAGACACAGATTCTTACATGCAGTTCTCCCATTCAGGAAGACAAAAAAATCAAAAGAAGATTCAGAGAGAATAGGATCTAGTAGAAATTCACTGAAACTTCCAACTCTTTTGAGCCCTCAAACAGATTCTGCGTAAAACCAAAAAGGAAAACTAAAACAAGCTAGAAAGCCTGATCTGTGACCGCTAGCCACACCCAGGCTGCTTCCTCTGTCCCAACTTTAAAAAAGACCCTACGGCCTCACAGATTGCTTCCTTTCTTATCGACAGCTCAGCACCTCTGCCTCACAACCTTTCTTCAAAAGAAACCAGGACAAAATAACCTCTTACAGTGACAGCATCATCACAAGCCGAGGAGCTGTGGGAAATAGCGGGGAAGTAGGGAACATTAAAAGTTTTCTGGATGAAAAGAAATGAAATGAATAGTCACCAACAATCATCATTTCACGTTCTGAGAAACATGACAATGAAAGTCTGACCATCATGTTGTCCTTATAACTGAACAAATTAACCGCATTAATGGTCACCAAATGAGCTGAATCCAGTAGATCCTGCTTGTTTAAATGCACAACTAGCTCCAATAGTTCACGGAAGATAACCAATCCAAACTGAAGTTGGCTTGTTCAAATTATTTTCTTCTCTAGCTACCTCCGTCCTTGATCTCAGGTTTTTACTGTAACAACGCTGTCACTAGGAATTCCTGCAAATCTTCTGATGGTATCTCATACTATCATCCACAAACAGAGAAAAACCAAGTGAAACAGCATTTATATCATCTACTCAGGTTCCCACAAGATCATGCTAAGATTACATGGGAGATGAGGACTTCAATTGAAATTCTACCCTTACGTTCAAACAAATGAGCAGGAATTAAAAGAACAGCTTCATGCCAGAGTTCAGAAACAAAGTTCACTGAGATGGATCAAATGATTTATTATTCATATTTCTGAATGTAATATTAAAAAGTAATCAAATAAATATTGTCCTTCCATCAGTCTCTAGTGTAGACACTGGGCCCAACATTTGGCAACAAATACAAACCAGTTCTGCCCCTATTTGACCCAGGACACAACACCTTCATAGCTCAATAAATAGCAAGTAGCAACAGAAGGTTATACATCTTATTGTCCCTGAACAATAGGCAATGTAACTGTACTGACCCCATTATTGGCCAACTTCAGATCTCATCCCTGTAAAGCTGGTGGTCAGACATGAGATAGGCATTGTCTGTTTGCTTCATGTACTAAATAGGAGCAAATTACTACAGATGCTGGAATCTGTACTGAAAATAAAAAATCACAGCAGGTCAGACAGCATCCATGGAGTGAGAATAAGCTAACGTTTCGAGTCTGGCTCTAATGAAGAGTCAACTAGACATGAAATGTTAGCTTGCTTTCTCTCCATGGATGCTGTCTGACCTGCTGTGATCTCAAGCATTTTTTGTTTTCATTCTTCATGTACTCATCAAGTTAACTCACTTGGCACTTGGAAGCTTTCTGCAGCATTTACTCAACAATTAAACAAATGTTTCTTTTTATTGCAAAGTCAGTTAAAATTTTACTTCATCTCATGAAAACAGAATATTGATGCTTTGACTATCTCAGAAGTTTATTGATTATTTGTTTTAAATTTACCACGCTGTGCAAATACTGCATCCACTCTCCCTGAGATTCCTGGCCAGTCATCTGCTATCAGGCGTGGGTAACCTTCATCCATGACTCTTTTGGCTTCATCATAACTGGAAAAGGAAGCACATTCTTTATGTAAACAGTGACATGTTGGTGATGAGAAAAGTTGATGAATATTTATGTTCAGAATGAACAGTTACCTCCAGTACTGGTCTCCTGCAAAGAACAGTGTCTTTGATGTCTCCTCAATATGAGCAGCTGCATCGATTTTCCTGATGGATTTTGGAATACCCAATTGGTAGATGTACTTTGGATAACCTGGCATGATATTGTAGCCATTGATGGCCCAATATTTGTTTCCTGCGGGATTACAGAGAA